GAGAAGTTACATTTTGTAGTTTGGCAGTTGGGGACAGCTCTTTCTGGGAACAAGATTAGCAGACAGTCCATAGTTGGGGACAGCACATTCTGGGAACAAGATTAGCAAACAGTTCTTAAGATTTCAACAGTGTTTTGTTAAGCATATAGAGAAACGGAGTGACAAGTACTTTTTTTATTAACCTTTCAACATGATTCTCCTTTGACTATTTATTTAGTGAGATTTATGCTTTCCCTGACTCTGACGTTTCTTCTTCCTTTTTTCTATTTGTAATATTTTATGAAGTATATTTGTAGTGCTGGATTAGTGGTTATGAATTCTTTTAACCTCTGCTTATTATGAAAGGTTTTTATTTAACCTTAAATTCTAAAGGATGATTTTGCTGGATATAGCTGTCTTTGCACCATTAGCTTTCAGGAGTTAGAGTATATTTTTCCAATCCCTTCTGGCTTTTAGAGTCTTGGTTGAGAGATCAGCAGAAAATCTAACTGGCTTGCCTCTAAATATGACCTACTGTTTTTTCTTGAAGCTTTTAAAATCCTTGCTAGACATTTTAATTATAACATGTCTTAGTGAAGATTTTTTTGATCTTGTCTATTTGGGGTCCTAAACGCATCTTGTATTTGGATTTCTCTCTCATTCTTAAGTTTTGGAAATTTTTCTGATACAATTTTACTGAAAAGGTGTGCATTCCTTTAGCTTTTCTCTAAGTGCCTTTTTCCCTTCCAATGATTCCTAGATTTGGTCTCTTAATGTTTTCCCATCTTTGTTGTTGTTGTTGAGTTTGTTTTCAAGATTATATACTTCAAGATTATCTTATATATTTGTTTGAGGCCTGAATTTCTATCCTCTGTGTGGCCTATCTATTGATGATGCTTTCAACTGACCTTTTAATTTGCTTTACTTAGTCTTTCACTTTCAGGATTTCTGTTTGATTCTAGAATCTCTCTTTATTGAAATGTTCTTTCCTTTCCTGTATTTTCTCCCTTAGTTCATTCCTTAGAGCTTCTTTCAGTTTCTTGAACATTAATTATCAACTTTCTACTTTCTTTTTCTAGCATTTTGTCCACTGTGGTGTCAATGGGATCAGTTTTCATCATGTTGTGAGCTATTTGGAGTGACTTGCTCCCTTGCTTTTTCATATTATTAGCATTTCCACCCTTTTTCTGGGATGATTATCTCTTTTACTTTAATATAAGGGACTTTTTAGTAAGCTGCTTTTTCTTTACTATATGCCCTGGGTTGGGCAAATGTTTTAGACTATTTCACAATCTGAACTTGCTACAATGTCCAGTTTCTAAATGCCACATTGAGAGGAGACATTAATCCCCAATAATTACAGCTGCTTCAGAACAAAGCCATATACTAATAAATATTTTTGAAAGATTTACCAAAAATGTTCTATGTCAGTCCACTAATCTGAGTAGTAAATGGGAGTGATTTTCTTGAATTGGTTGAGAGATTAGATAACAAGTAAGTAAAATTGCTTTTAAACTATATTTGGCTTTAAGGTCAACTATTCACTCACTGCTTCAGTTCTGTGCTGTGGAAGGATCAAGAAGTACTGCCTATTTCCTCTCCATCATCTTCTGGAGTCTATTTTGTTGTTTGTTTGTTTGTTTTACTTGCTGAGATTTTTGAAATATAGTCCTTTCTTTCTGGGATTTTAGCTATTGTGCCACTTGTTTATTCTCAGTTCTGGCCTAAAGTAGTAAAACTTGTTAGGGGAGTCTCTATGCAGAGCTTCACTCCCTCCTTAGCTTGTCAACTTTGACACACCCCTCTTTTGGGGCGTCTCAGGCCATGTGCTGGGGTGAGGAGAACAGATGCATCAGACTATCCTCCAGCACCTTCTAGGCTTAGAAAAGATTACTCAGGGCTCACGAGATTTGGTCTATACTTAATTGATTTCAGCATTTCCTCTACTCTTAGTGTCAGCCAGGTTCCTTATTTCAGAGCTCAGATCACCTGTGAAAGGGTTCTTTATTCTTCTCAACTTGGTAGACTCAATTTGTCATGCTAAATTTCTGTTTCAAATTACTCTTGGGGAGCCACTATAATGTGACTTCCTCTGATCCACTTATTCCTTTTCCTCAAATGATTAACTGAGTAAATTTAAAGGATATTAAAAATATAGGTCATTCAGAGTAAAGAAATTGGGATATGAGGGCAAAAGGAAGGTTAGAAAATTCAAAAGTAGAGAGGAGAGAAAGTAGAAGAGAAGTAGTACATGAAGGCCATAAAAGAGGGAGAAAGTGAAGAAGGGGGAAAAGGGGAGGGGGAGGGGGAGAGATACAGATAGAACCAAATATGTTGCTATTATTAGAGGAAGAGGCAAGGAAAGTAAGAGTAACAAAACAAGGAAACAAGTAGAGCAAAACAGCAACCCCTCCCAAAGCAAACAAACAAACAAAACTTATTATAAAGCAATATTCCTATCATTTCTATTCCAAACAGCAGAGCTAGTGGAAAGTGTATCCTTTCTCTACTCTGTCTCTTGAAGCCAGGGTCTAGAATTATTTCTATGAGGATTTCTTCCTGCTTCTCTTCCATCAATAAATCTACATAACCCCTCACTTCTTTGCCTCTCTCCCATGAGAAGACCACGATTTTGACTTTTATTGTTGTCAATTAGAAAAATCACAAAACACTGGGAAGCTAAACAATTGTCTCTAAATTATCCATGTATCAAAGAAGAAATCACAAAGGAAGTAAGAAAACATTTTTAGCTAAACGATAATAAAAAAAATGTATTTGTGTCCATGAAATAGCTAAAGTAATGCTTGGAGAAAATTGTAAGTTTAAGTACTTAACATTAGAAAATAGAAAAAGTTTAAATCAGTATCTCATCTTCCATCTTAAGAAGTTAGAATGGCAATTGTTTAAGTCAATTTTTCCATCACTCTGACCTGATAGAATAACGTGGAGGAGGAAAGGTTTATTTTGGTTCACAATTTCAGAGGTCTCCGTCTGTAGATGATGACTCCATAGCTCTCAACCCAAGATGAGGTAGAGCATCATGGCAAAAGTGCATGCCAGAGGAAAGCATATCAGCACATGACAACAGGAAAGCTCCACTCACCAGGAACAAAATATATACCCCAAAGGGCACACCTCTGACCTGCCCCCTCCAGCCACATCATATCTGCCTTCAGTTATCACCCAGTTAGTTAATCCATATCAGTGGACATGATCATTTCACCTCTGAATGTTCTTGCATTGTCTCACACATGAACTTTTGGGGGACACCACATATCCAAACCATAATAGCAATTAAACCCAAGGAAACGGGAATAAATGAAATTATAGAGAAAAACAATAGAGATCAAAATAAATGAAAGAAAATATAAGGAATATAAAGTTCCACTCTATGACTTGTAATTCCGTACAATTTATTAAGACTACTTTATGGCCTGATAATGGTCTGTTTTGATAAATGTTCCATGAGCATTTGAAGAGAAGTTGTGTTTCTGTAGTTGTTAAATGTTGAGTGTGGGAGGCCGACATAGCATGTGACCAGAGTTTGCTTCCCCTCCTGATCTTCGTGACACTGTCGATCACCCCATGATCTGGTTGCTTAAGTAACCCAAGACGGTAGCCCCGATCTTGAGAGTAGATTGGAACAATACATCATTTGTCTACCTTTTCCTCTTTTTTTTTTTTAACATATGGATCATAGTTACTCCAAAGTTTCTGTCTGCCAACAATGGGAACTTCTCTTAGCCTAAATCTACAGAGTATTTTATCAGTTGATTTTTTTAGTCACTTTTCCTTGCTTCCTTGCATTTGTCAATATGGGCCTACAATAATGGGTCAACCCAGTGATGCTTAATTCAGGTGAGCTACTTATATTTTCTTTCAGATTTTGCTTAGCTCTTCTACCTAATTCACCTACAGGTACTTTTTAGGATAAAGCCTACCTTTTTTCCAATTTAGAAAGCTATTGAAGGGTTACTGTGGGCCAACTATTTTTCATGTCCTACATTTCTTTTAATCTCCATAATAATCACATAGAAATAATAGTCATCACTTATATAGTAGTATGTTTATACATTTACATGCTCTTTTAACTCACATGAATATTATAAATAGGCACTGTTTTATTAATCCTGATTTAAAAATAAAATGTCTCGGAAACCAGAGGGGTTAAGTAACTCCTTCCCTCCCAAGGGAGAATATATGGAGATATATATACATACACACATACACTAGAATTCAGAAATTTTCATCTAGTCAGGTTGGCTTCAGAATTTGTGCTTTTAACAACTGCTTTATTGGTGATATTATTCTAATTTTACAGAGAAGAATACCACATGTTAGAAAGATTAGATGTCCCCAAGGTTTCAGTGCTAGGAAGTAACAGCCATAGAGTTTGATCAGGGCTTTAAAGACTTTGCTCTTTCCTCTACACTACACTATCAAAGGAGACAAAGTAAATGTTTTTTTATTTTTGTGGACCTTGTGAGAATTTTGTGCAGGCTTAAGTGGTGGGCAGGGAGGGCTTCTGGTCTTAATGAAGATAATATCTCCTCATGTATATGGTCCATTAGCCTCTATATGGCCACACACTGGAAGGGGGTTGTGTTCCCGCTAGCATGCATTATTTCTGAATACCTATAGGACTGACTCCTGGAGAAGGATTTTGATATCTCCCTTAATATCCACTTGAAGAAAGAAAGAGGACGGAGCTCAACCTTGATGTCCTCTGCTATGCTAGGGACACACGATTCTCAACTGACACATGCCTCTTCCTTCAGACATAAGCACATGTCCTCTGTTGGTGTTGCATGGATTTGCCATCTAGAATCTGAGTCCTATAAAGAGTCTGAGAAACAAAGTACTTGCACTGTTGGAGCTCAGGCTCGGACTGGGAGAGGGTTGGCTTCTTTGGTGGGAAGATCAGACCTAGTTACTTGCCTGAGCTGGGCAGGATGTGTTCTGCTGTGGGAGCCATACCAAATTCTTAGGTCTCTCCTAACACTGACCTTGCTTTTTTTCAGTGTGGAGGCTGCCAGCATTGGATTCGTCATTGTGATTGACAGAAGAAGGGACAAGTGGAGCTCCATAAAGGCATCCTTGACACGAATAGCAGTAAATACTTACTTTTGTGCTATGATAGTTAAAGTCATTTAAATAGTCTTTTCAAATATTTCATATCAAAGTTATGAGGAAAAGGCAATTATTTTATGTCAAATTTTGAGAAGGTCTTTGTAACAGGTGCTATTGCACCATGGAAGGTCTCCCATAGACAATTCCTGAGCATCACAAAGACTCCTCTGAGTCTTTCTGCCTTATTGACTTCTCTACTTACTGAAGAAGGGAAGGCAGGGAGGGCTGGGAAGTTAACAGGATAACCATTGAGTTACAGGAGTTGATACGTAAACACCAGCTTCCATATCTCTCTTTGGAACAATTCTGAGCTGTGTTGCAAACAAAATCTCAGAGGCTCTCAGCCTCCCTTACCTATAAAAGTAACCCCATCATTTATGCATTGTCTATGCATTGCTGTCTACCTCCCTACTCCCTCATCTGTACTTCCAGATGTACCCAAATCCTTTGTTTGATTGTTTGCTTTGGGGGATGCCTGATTTAAGACAGTCTTCATTTTACTATTCAAATTACTTTTTCACAAAGTAGAAAAACAGTGGCAAAACCAGACAAAATGGTATTTAGATACATTTGTTGAAGGGATGTTTGCATTTGGCATTAAATTGAACAATTTTCCATGGGCTTCCTTTTCCTTATTAGTCAGTTTTAACCAATCTTGCCTTTGAGCAAGTAGATGCATCTTTTCTCTATTGGAACCTCAGACCTGTGAACCCAGCCATGTGGTCGCAGGGCCACTTACACCAGTTCTTTTACCCTAGCCCAGGCTCATAAGGACAGTGAAGCCTGACTAAAGAGGGTGCAAAATATCAGGGTGTTAATATGAGTGCTGGAATTAGGATGGGAGAAGGACAATTGAAGCCTTGCATACACCCTCATACAGAAGCCGTCATACATACAGACGTGTACCCATATAGAGTCTTCTCAGATTGCTTTAGAACCTCATCCAGATACAAACATTTTGCCTCAGCTGATTTATCATAACATGATACAACAAAATACAAAGCTGTCCCGTCTAGGAGTTTGTGTTTCAAAGATGGAGAAGGGAGTACTGCTTCCCTTGGTACATTAATTGTTTTGTCCCTTTAGTTTTTCTACAGGCCTTATCTGTAAGATAACTACCATCATTGTTGCTGCCCATGACTATTCCAGAGATCTGGCTTCTGAGGAGTTCTGCTTTCCTAGGGGCCACAGACAATACTCGAACAATATGATAATGAGCCCTATTTGTGCCAAAATTATATTCATCACTTTATGTGTAAAAGATGCTGTGGTGCAGGAGTCCCTAAATCTACCTACGTATCAGAATTTCTTCAAGTAATTGTTAAATATGCAGATGCCTGGAATTCATATTAGTCCTAATGAATCAGAATTAGAATGAAGACCAGATTTTCTTGTAACTCTCACTTTAAGAGGTTGGGAAACCACTGGAAGAACAGGAATCCCTGGGTAGTGGGAGACTTGGGTTCTGACTTTGTCACTAAGTAGTTCTGTGAATCTGAGTTAACTCCTTGCTCAGGATCCACCTCAAGATGAGGCCAGTACTTTCCAAAAGCAATTTGGCAATAAAAACAAAGAGTCCTACCAAGAACCCTTAAAATGCTAGTTCTTTGGCTCAGTAATTCTTATAGGAATCTATCCTAAGAAAATGTTCCAAAGTATGTATAAAGATGTTCATTTGGGTTTTATTTATAATAGTAAAAATATAAAAAATCTTAAACAATTAGCAAAAAGTTATTTATTAGATAAATCATGCACCCATAAAAATATTTCCAAAGACTTCTTTAAATAACAGGAATAAAAGCTCATAGTATATTAAATAACAGGAATAAAAGTTCATAGTATATTAAGTGGAAAGGCAAGTTTCAAAGTAACTGTGGTGTAAGTCTAACTATGATATAGACAATTTAATGAACAAAATAGACTATAATTATATAAACTAAAATATTAAATATGCCTGTGACACCATGGGTGGTTTTTTTATAATGTAATTCTATTTCACAATTTTTATATAAAGAGTAGGAATTATTTTTATAATAAGAATATTTTTTTTGCTCATTGGTTTGATTTGCTTTATTTTTTAAAGAGTAGTTTGAGTTACCTGACCTTTAGGGCTCTTTTAATTCTGAAATTCTCTGAGATTTATTCTAATTCTTTGACATCCATGGCCTCCAATTTAACTTTTTCTTCTGTGATCTTGGGCAGGAGAAGACTAAAGTAGATCTTGGTAATGGATGTGACATTTTCTCTCTACCCTGACACTTGTCATGATGCTTACAGGTGGCATTTCCAGGAAACTTACAGCTCATATTCATCCTTCGCCCATCTCGCCTTATCCAGAGAACATTCACTGACATTGGTATTAAATACTATCGAGATGAATTTAAGATGAAAGTGCCGGTAAGCTTGACTTCTCACCTTGTCTCCATCTCTCAGGGGCATCTGTCATTTGAACTGGGCTGCTAAGAAAGGTGGGACTCAAGAGGTACAGAGGGAGAGGAGGGCATCCTAGGCTGGGAACAGCTGCGCAAAGGCACAGGGCAAGAAGCACACACTTCTTATGAAGTCTGTGGGAATCCCCAGTTTTGTTGGAGCACACAGAAAATAGTATTTTGGAAGAAAAGGAAGGAAACATGAAATAGTGTCTTCAGCAGGAGGATAAAGGGTCTGGTTTTTATCCAGTAGACAATGAGGGTCCAGCAAAGGTTTTCTAGTTGGGGAGTGAGATGGTGACATGGTGTACTAGAGTTATGTTGATCTGGGAGTGGTATATAACTGAGGAAAGATAATAGAGGAGGAAGATAAAGGGTAAAGTTGAAAGAAACTGTGACTCTAAAGCATGGGGGTGACATAAGAATCTGTACAGTGAAAAACCAACAAAATTTTTTAAAAAGATTCAAAACTATATGCATAAGTTTGGTAAAGCAGTGTGGAAACAATCACTCTCATGCGTAGCTGGTAGGAATATAGTTGGTAACAACCAATATGAAGGACTAATTATCAGCATTTATAGAAAATTTAAATGTAAATGTTCTTTGAACTCTCTATAAGAATTATTCTACAGATATGTTCTGGTTTAGATAATGGGGTGTTCCACAAAAGCTCATGTGTGAGACAATCAAGAAAGTTTATAGTTGGAATGATTGGGTTATGAGATATTAATCCCCTGGTAGGGATTAACTGAGTGGTGTCTGTGGGAAGGTAGGGTATGCCTGGAGAAAGTCCTATCTGTGGGCAGGTAGGTGACTGGTAGGTAGAGTATGCTGGAGAAGGTCCTATCTGTGGGAAGGTAGGTGACTGTGGGCAGGCAGGGTATACCTGGAGGAGCTATCTACAGTCATCACCTAGTTAATCTCTATCAGAGGATTAATACACTGATTAAATTAAGGCTATCATAACCCAATAATTTCACCTATAAACTTTCTTGCATTGTCTTACACATAAACTTTTAGGGGACACCTTATATCTAAACCATAACATGGGGATTTAACCCAGAAGTACTCTACTGCTGGGCTCTGTCCCCAGTCCTTTTTATATTTTATTTTGAGACAGGGTCTAAGTTGCAGAGGCTGGCCTTGAACTTGAGGTCCTCTTGCCTCAACCTCCCAGGTCTCTGGGATTATAAATGTGCACCACCATTCCCAGGCAAAGTTGTTTTTAATAGCTAAAGACTGGGAAGAACTTAATTCTTGACAACTAGTTAAGTTAATTATATGCTACCTAATCAATGAAATACTTTTCAGCCAACAAAAGTGGTAACATATGATACAACCATTTTGGAAATAGTTAGTAGTTTCTTATAAAGTAAACATAGACTTAAACTGTGACCCAGCTGAGAAATGAAATTGTATGTCTACCAAAAAAAAAATGTACAAGAATGTCTATTGACAGGTGAATGGATGAAGAAACTGTGCCATGCTTCTATAAAGGAATAACATTAAGCAATAAAAAGCAGTGAAGTGAGCTGCTATAAATATCGACATGGCCGCATCACTGTAGTATTCTGATTTTAAGTCCTTTGGGTATAAACTGAGAAGTGGGATAGCTGGATCAAATGGTGGTTTCATTCCAGGTTTTCTGAGAAATCTCCATACTGCTTTCCATAGTGGTTGCACCAATTTGCAGTCCCACCAGTATTGTATGAGTGTGCCGTTTTCCACACATCTTAACCAAAATTTATTGTTGCCTATATTCTTGATGATTGACATTCTAACTGAAATTTTATAGTATTTTTGATTTACATTTCTCTAATTGTGAGAGATGTTGAATATTTTGTCATATATTTGTTGATAATCAAGTGCATTTCTTCTTCTGTGAAGTATTTGTTCAGTTCCTTAGCCCATTTATGGATTGAGTTATTTGCTTTTTGGGTGTTAAGTTTTTTGAGTTCTTTATATAGCCTAGAGATTAATGATTTATCTGAGGGTCATGTGATAAAGATTTTCTCACAATCTGTAGGCTCTCACCAAAGGCCAAATATGATATGCAGATGCTAATTCACAATGGTGGGGGCTCTAGGGAAGAATATAGTTACTTCAGATTAGATAGAGGGGAGTGAAAGGAGAGGAGGGGATATGAGGATAGGAAGGATAATAGAGTGAAACAGATGGTATTACCTTATATACATATATGACTGCATGACCAATGTGACTCTGCAACATGTACAATCAAAAAAATAAGAATTTATACTCCATTTATGTATGATATATCAAAGTGCATAAATGCATTCTATTTTCATGTATAACTAATTAAAGTAAATTCAAAAATTTATAAAAAATAATAAACCTAAAAAAAGCAGTGAAGTACTAATACATACAATAACATGGAAGCAATTCAATAATATTCTCTTGAGAACCCAAAGTGGTTGCTTCTATTCTGAATTCCTGTGTTAACCATTCCATCAAAATGAAAAGCCTAAATGACATGGCAGCAAAAGAGGCTTCCTCCATCACATCCAACATGATCAACCTGCTTGCTGAGAATACTCAGTATCCATGGCATCATCGCTGCCTTTTCTACCATTATGAGTCTGCACCATGGAGAAGTACCTTGCCCATGACCACTGTGTCTCTTTTAGATAAAGCTGTGCTCTCTGAATTAAAGATAGTCCTGAAGAGCTTCCTAAGTTAAGGCCAAGAATTGAAATTGGAGGTTAAATCTGATCCAGTAATCATGGGTGGAATGATTGTATTGGAGAGAAATATATTGATGTGTGCATAAACCAAGATTCAGAAGCTGAACCGGGCTGTGTGGGAGAGTATCTTAAGTGTTGATTTTCCATCATCGGTGAAAATTCTTAAACATGAATCAACAATAAAATGCTTCCTAAAGAGGCTATAAAAATTTCTCTTGAGATGAAGAAACTATATGCTAAAGAGCATATTCTTCATGATTCCTTTTATGTAAAGTTCAAGGATAGGACAAACTAAGCTGTGGTAATACAAAATCAAAACAACAGTTTTTGAGTTGGGTGTGGTGGCACATGCATGTGATCCCTGTGGATGGGAAGGCTGCGGCAGAAGGATCACAAGTTTGAAACCAGCCTCAGTGACTTCACAAAGCCCTAAGCAATTTAGTGAGACCTATTTCAAAAATAAAAAGGGCTGGAGATGTTGCTCAGTGGTAAAGTTACCCTAGATTTAATTCCCAGTACCCCCCCCAAAAAAAGAATCTTGAGTGTTTAAGGGAAATCAAACAAGCTGTGAGTTTCTTACTCAATTTTCCTGAATTGAAAAATGATTGATATTGGGAAGAGATGACAACTAACAAGAAGCAAATGACCTGTCACAGTCCTCATGAGCTTTTTTACCCTTCAGTATTGAAGACTAATCAATTGCTTCTTGCCACTCTGTTTTAACTGATCAGTTGCTCAATGTCCTATGTATTGCCCTCGTTGTACATAAAACATGCCTCTGAGTGACCATGTATATACAGATCCCTATGTGATTTATGTCCTGCTTTTCTTGTGGTACATCTACACTGAGGAGGGACAGGAAATCTACATTATCTCAATATTATATTTTCAGCTATTTCTGATAGTTATATTGACTCCCTACCTAGTCTACTTTTGATTTGAAACTTAAAATCAACTTTTTAGAGAGCTCTCGGCCACCTGAACCCTGGGCACATTTGGTAGGTCATTCTCCAGTACAAGTTTGCCTTGTAGGCTGCATTTGACCCACACACAACCTTGCTCTCCCCAGGTAAGTCTGATGCTCCGTGGAATTCAGAGTCTTAAGTTACCAAGTTTGAAACAAACTTCAAAACACATTTTGCCTTTTAAATGACAGATCCAGCTGTTAGTCTTCCTTACTTTGTTTTTAAAATGTGGTTGTGATATTAGTACTTTTGTAGGCCTCAGCCTCTCTTATTATCATATCCCCCTGTTCATTTCTAGTTAGATAATAATTATATTTCTATAAATTGAAGGGGAAATAAGTTCATTATACATAGTTGGCATATGGATCTCCTGGCATAGGGATAAAATTGTGGTCAAGGGAGACAGAGTACTTGATTGTAGTGAAGGTTTCTGAATGCCTATTGCTGGCCATTCTAAAACAGCTAGACTCACAGCTGCCTTGCTGTTATGTGAAGTCATTAAGGCAGTCTCACAAAAAGGCAGGTTATCATGGACATGAAAATTGGTTTCTTTAAAAAAAAAAAAGAAGTCTGTGGCAGAAACAGGAAATGTTTACATTTGTAATGGAAAGAGCCAACATCTTCTGCAGGAACAGCTTTAAGCAAGTAATGGGTAAGAACATAAATATATACAGAAAAGGAAACAAAAAAAGACATGCTTAATGTATAACAACTGTTCCAAGAATGTGCAAGTGGTACGTGTTATCCTAAAGTTCTTGGATCCAGAGAAGGGAATGCAGAGGCTTGGAAAGAAGTTTGTTACACTGGAGAGAGTTCCAGGGAAGGGATCATCACAATGCTGCATAGGTCACAGGGGAGGCACTGTCAGGAGGCAGAAGCGGAAGCAAGGGGGAAACCCAGGCCAAAGCCTTTCTGCAGGAAAGGCCAGGCAGGCCAGAGGAAACAGCTTATGATTGGCTAGTTTGAATAATTCCTCTGGGCTACACAAGTAGTCTCCGGTTATCTGGTACCTGGCTCTGGGCTGGTTTCAGGGTGGGGGAAATAACGTCTGTGCATATGAGTTTGATAAATGTGGATGGGGATTTGGATGGGGATTGGCTGGTTTGCATATGAAAAGCATGCTCCCTGCTAAACCCTTGGCCATCTCTGGGTTGTGGGTTAGCCATGGCAGGGACAGTCTCTAGCCAATCACTGAGGCCACAAATGCAGGGCATTAAGAACACAGAAAATAAGAAAATAGTGTTTGTTTAATTGATCCTGTGATGAAGGATGCCCAATATGCAAATACAGAAACAAAGAAATAACAAAGAACAACAACTACTTTAAGGTCAGATTTACATGCTCAGTATGTCTTGTGAGTTTGACCAGCAGATTTGTTTTGCTATTTCCCTTTCCTATATAAAATTTTTAAACTTGTTTTTTAAACTCTTGATCCTGAGTAGATTAGGAGGAAAACATTTTTGTGTTGAAAATGCTTTGCCTTTTTCATTTTTTAATTTAACGTACAGTAAAATTCACTCTTTCTGATACATAGTTCTGTTCGGACAAACACACGGAGTTATTTAATTCCCAGCACAGTCAAGCTACAGAATGGTTTTATCACCCACCAGATTTCCTTATTTTCTTCTTTCTAGTCATTTCCTCTCGCATCCCAAACAGCTGGCAAACTGATCTGTTCTCTGTCCTCACAGTTTTGTCTTTTCCTGAAAATCATGTTAATTAAATTATATACTAAGCAGACATTGAGTATGACTTTGTTACTTAGCATGAAACATTTGGGTTTCACCCATGTTGTTGGATGTGTCAACAGTTCTTTATATTGCTGAATATTGTCACTTGTTAAGAGGTACGGTTTATTTATTCACCAGGGAAGAACATTTCAGTTGTTTCTTCTAGCTTTTAGTGATTAAGAACAAAGCTGCTATAAATATTCACATCATGCAGAATTTTGCTCTGACATATTGTAGGTATATGTTTAACTTTACGAGAAACTGCTGAACTGTTTTGCAAAGAGGCTCTACTATTTTTCATTCCCACTAACAGTATATGAGAATTCCAGCTGCTTCATATTCTTGCCACCCTGCCAAAAACTGGTAATTAATAAAAGTTTTAGTCATTCTGGTTGCTTGTATTGTGGTATCTCACTGTGGTTTTAATTTGCAGTTCCATCATGACTAATGACATGAAATCTCGTTTCATGTGCTTATTTTCGATTTGTATATCTTTTTTGGTGAAGCTGTAACAAGGCCTTAGAGGCTGCTTTTGCTAAAAGTACTGAATCTTCACTTGGGCCTGCAGCTGTCCAAAGGGTAACTAAAACAGGATAAAAGATCGACATCTCTGCCTTCATTTTGCATTTGCCTCTTTTGCTACCTTAACCCTTGGGAAAAGCTGGTAGTCCTCTCCCTTAAAGGCAGAAGGCAGCAAGATTAGAAAAATAACTAAGCTATTTTCAAGATTTTCAGGGACATCATAATTAACAGATTGTCATATGCCAGCTTTTACAATATCTTTTTCCACATCACCCAGTGGCACCTAACCTGAAGGTTTTTTTTAAATGTTACCATCTTGCTTTCCCACCTGCCCTTTTCTCTGAATCATTCCTTCCTGCAGTTACCTTGGATTCCAGGAACAACATGTCTGATGGTTAAACAGCTTGGGATGATTTGCAACTACTCCCCAGGCAACAGCAAATTTCTCATAGCTGCTAACAAGGCTCTGCCTGGCTGGCCCTGAGATAATGATCAACCAGACCACAGTTTCACCAAGACTACTTGGCTATGTGTACTTCTAATCCCACTTTGCTACCTAATTTGAGAGTTCATGTCAGTACCCCTGAAAACAGGGTTAAGGACTTGATCCCCTTTGTCTTCCCAATATAGCTATATTGAATAAATTCCTTTCCTGACTTTCACTGTTATTTTTTCCATTTTGTTTCTGGGATGAGTGGCTGGACCTGATTTGTTGGGACGTCTTGAAGTCAAGCCCCCTCTGATCTAGGATTCCAGTAACAAAGCTTCTGTTCAAATCTTTTGCCATTATTGATTGTGTTATTTTCTTATTATTGAGTTTTAAGAGTTTTGTATATATTCTGGATATAAGTCATTGTCAGGTGACTTGCAAATATTTTCTCCCAATTGTGGGCTATATTTTCATTCTCTCAACTGTGACTTTATGGAGTAAATATTTTAAATTTGGATGACATCTAGCTTATCAACTTTTCTTTTATGAGTCATGCTTTTGGTGTCATAATGCAGAACTCTTTGCCTAATCCAAAGATTTTACCTTAAGATTTTTTTTGACTTGCACAACACTTCTGCTAATATGCTCCTTTTATTCTTAATTTTCAATTTAAAGTTCTTCTTGGTCCTTTCTAAAGCTTAAGATGAGAAAACAGAGTCCTGGAAAGTGTGAAAAATCACACCTCCCTCCCTGTTTAGATAAGGAGAATTGGAAATACATAGCCTGGCAGGATAGGTTTTGACACTTCGGGCTACAGGGCAGTTATTTCTGTCTAACACAATATTGTACATAGGTTTTTGGGTTGTTGTTTTCTGTT